AGATGCACTGAAGCTAATCGAGATATTTGCTGTCAGTCTGTGGCTGCGATTAAACACTTTACTGAAAACTTTATTAACTAGTAAGCGCCGATAAGTGAAGCAGAGGGAGCCTGACCATGCGTCACACATTTGACGAGTTGGGAGTGAGAACGTGTTGGTGTGAGAGTGAACTCACACATCTGCAGTCAGCTAGTTTATCAGTTGAAGTCACTTAACTCTGTCATAAAATTGATAACTCGATCAGATGATATCTGACCATAACAAGTCTTTCTTATGATTTGATTATCACCTGGAATAGGGTAGTTTTACTGTGTCCGAACATAAACCCTATGCACAGTCCGTGGTCTGAATTTTTGTGTCATCACGGAGAAATGCTTTCCTGGAGATATCTAAAATGTTGAGAACTAGCACAAAAAGCATGTTCAAGAACTTTGGCAGGTTTGTCCACATGATGGTTATGCAGCTACCCGAGATACAGTTACAGAAATTTACAGGTTTCCACAAGTATTTTTTCCCCGTCATTAAAAAAAGTTCCTGGTTTTAAACATAAATATCGTTTTTTTCTTTGTGTGTGTGTGTGTGTGAAAACAGTGTCAAAGTGAACTGCAAATCTTTACATCCTGCACAGCATTGGTTTGTAGCTTTATTGTCCCAAATTCCCATTTTGTACTTGCACAGACTGCGTGTCCTAAATAAATAAATAAGGTTTGGTGGCGTAACAATGAAACAAACGGTTCACATCGTCCTGGCTGTGCTTTTTACACGGAACAAAATATTTTTATGTCTAAATTGTTGATAGAATAGATTCCCTCCGAGTGTAGACAGTAGGAAGTACCAATAAAGCCTCTGATTTTTAGGGTTCATGAGGATCTAAATATTTTTTAACCGCGAGACGGAAAGAAGTGCTGAAAGTGCTGTAATGCCGCTAGTTTCCATAGGAGGGCACTGTTGCACCAGTGTTTCAAATTACTGCTAAGGAAGAAACATTTATTTGGAAACTGCCACTTTAATAGCAGAAGTAAATAACAAATGTGACATTCAAAATCAAGCTTTCCTCAGAATAGCCCAAGTCTCAACCAGAAAGTCTTTCGAAAGTCGAATTTGCTGCTGTCGATGCAGTAACGGCTTTTATCTTGTTATTTCAAGGTTCAAGGTTCTTTATTTGTCACATGCATAGTTATACAAGTATAACACACAGTGAAATGTAACCTGACACGCTCCTCGACATGTGCAAAAAATTGGGGG